CCTTGGCGCACACGCAGCAATATAACAGAGAACGCTTGAACGCATTTTAATGAGGCTTGGCACTGGAAAGTTTCAGTCAGACTTGGCGACTAATTTAGGTTTTGGATAAAACTGAACAACAATAACGGACAGACTCTATAAAGAAACCTACACCTGCGTTCACATTAAAGAAACTCTGCATTCTGCCCACACAGTGTATTTGTGCTCTTCGGTAGTACACCCTCAAGCACGGTCGCCAGTTTGATTACTGAAACTAGCCTCTGAACGTGCGCATTCGTCTCTACTACCTACACTCTCATTAAACTGGACTCTGCTACTACATACTGATACTAATAAAAAGGTCAATTAAGTAAAGGTATCCCTCTAACATGCCCTGGAGGCCAACAGGGTTGTGAGACGTCGAGGCTCCAACATCTTTTTGACAATCGGATCACAGATGTCAGCCTTATGCTCCGACCGCCCATTAACAATCAGGACGATTCATCGCACTCATTTCCGTTACAGACTGAGTCGACCCCAGCCATAGTGGGGCTGGAAGGATTAGGTCAATTGAAAAATCAATTGCTTCATCGAGTATCGAACCCGCGACCTTCCTTCTTGTAGCACAGTGTCTCAACCAATTACGCTACCTCGTGACCCACTCATACTATCAAAACTTATTACGTCCATTACAGCTGTTTTAATTCCATTTGTGACCTGTTTACTGACTCCCTCGTGTATATACATATAGGAATATTCATAAATCCGTGAAACATTTGAAAAATTCACAACAAATAAACTATGCATCGGATCATGGTAATTCTTACGCCGGTAGAGAATGAATCTCTCCAAGTTTTCTTTTTAAAGCCCGCGCCTATAGTTGCCGTGGTTTGCCGCTAAAGACAGTAGTAGCAAACATGGCGTTCAGTAAACGTGAGCAGTCATTTTGTCATTTGGAATACGCAATAACCTCGTCCGTTGTGACCGGACAACGACGATTTCGAGCAGAATTCCAGAAGGCAGCACCAGTTTTGAACAGTCTCAAGAAATGGTATGAGAAATTCCGGGTTTGAGGCTGTCTGTGCACAGTTCCTCGGTCGGGACGTCCAGGACCAAGCGAAGAAACTGTGAATTGTGTTAGACAAGCTTACGAGCGCAGCCTCCGCAAGTCCACCACACGTGCAAGTTTAGAGCTTCGCATCTCGCAACCAACAGTTTGGCGAATTATCCATACGAGACTCAAGTGTAAACCCTACAGGCTTCAGCTGCATCAGCATCTCAGCGATAATGACAAAGTTGTGCGTCTTGATTTCTGCATTGAAATGCAAGAGAGATTTGAAGGTTTCGCAGACTCGCTCACCTTTAGCGACGAAGCAATTTTCCATCTGTCTGGAAATGTGAATCGGCACAATGCGAGCATCTGGGGGACCATACAGCATGTGCGAGACTCGCCTAAGGCGAATGTCTTCTGTGCAATTTCGAAAAAGAAGATTATGGACCAATTTTCTTTCCAGAGCCCACAGTCACTGGGATGATTTACTTGGACATGTTGGAAAACTGGCTGATGCCCCAGTTGAATTAAGACAGTAATGATTACCTCTTTCAACAAGACGGCTGTCCGGTTCACTATCACAAAAACATGAGAGGGTATCTCAATCAAATTTTGTCACAAAGGTGGACAGGACGCACAGGACAAAAAGATGGCGCGTTAATGCGGTGGCCACCCCGGTCCCCAGATTTAACCCCATGTGACTTTTTGTTCTGGGGGTTTGTGAAGGATACTGTCTTTGTATCTCCAATGCCTGCTAATCACAGGGATGTTCGCAATTGTATCACCGCTGCTGTGGCTCGGGTCAACCGTGATATGCTGACATGAGTGTGGGACGAAACTGATTATCGCATAGATGTCTGCCGTATCAGCAAAGATGGACACACTGAGCATCTGCGAAGTATGTAAAACAACTTGGTGAGTTTATCTCTATTTCAGTGTAATAAAATTCGGTATCCGTTGCATAGTTTATTTATTGTAAATTTTCAAATTGTTTCACTGACATATGCGTATACATAATCGTACACATAATGTTCAGAGACGTTACAGCATATACATTACATAAATAAAGATAAGTATATATATATTCTTTTGCTTTAAATTCAAAATAAATTGGGATTGAATGGGCTAAGGAGATGTTATAGGCTGAATTTAAATTGTTTCTGAGAATATGTGGAACAAGAGAACTGACAAACAGAATTCATCAAGACCCGGAAACAGAAATGCAGCTCTAAGTCAATAGAAAGAGGAGGGCGGGGCTTGCCGGCTCTACTTACGAACGCTGTCACTGTGTCCAGCAATACGAAATTACACGAAATAATGAATTGGCTAGGAAGTGATCATAGTCTAATTCGAGGTACTATCCCGGAATTTGCCCGGAGGTACGCCGAAAAAGAAATCAAGAATTAACCTCAGTATTACATAACCAGTCTTCAGGTCGAGTTTTGAAGGCTAGGCCTCCCGGCCTCTTCGTTGGCTGGAACTTGCCACACGAGCAGCTGGAGTCACACTGCAAGATCCAGACAAGAGCGGATGCATGAGACCGTGTTATATCACGGAAATACACGTTTGAAAATGTCGAAACAACGAAACGGAGTTCCAATTACGGTCCAGGAGCGAAACACGCTACTGACCCTTCCTGAATCGCACCCTCTCACCCTCCACACATTTATTATACATAATCTGCAGAATCTGCCCGGGTTCGATCCCCGGTCTGGTCAAGTGGGATTTGTGGTGGAAAAGTGGTGCCGGGGCAGGTTCTCTCCGAGTACTTCGATTTCCCCTGCCAATCTTCATTCCACCAATTGCTCCACAATCACCCTCACATATCATCGGGGGCTGGTACAGTAGGCCAGAAGTTGCCGCAGTACAAGGGAGTTAGTCCCACCCCACTAGCAATAAAAAAAATAGTCCCACCCCACTAGCATTAAAAAAACTATAGACTGGGTTTCGACTGGTGATTCGATTTATTGACTACTTATACACACAACTCGTGACTACACAGATTAGTGTCCTCAATCTATTATAGTCTCCACAAGCCCCTGGTAACGGCTCCCAACGCCGGACCTTCCCCTTCCTCTGGGTTCCATACTGTCCCCGTGCCTCAACTACCAGCTTCTAACAGCAACAGCTCACAAAGACTGAACTGCAGTTCTCTGACTCCCAGGCTGGCGACCGTTTCACACCAAATGCCAAATGTGAACAAATTTTAGCAAAATCACCAATATCAAATCTTGTGAAAATCCGTTGAGCGATTCTCTAAAATGCAGACATACAGACATCAAGGACTGAAGAGGCGCATTTCTGTTTTTTTTTTTTCTTGCAAACGTGCCTAGAAGAGGAAACGCTTCAAATAGGCGTATCTGTGATGTTTGGATATGGCGATTAAAGAACGACGACTGGGTAAAGCTTGCAGGAGCTATCTGGTTTGTCGATGCAGTCGACACACCTGTGCCTTCTCTATCGATTCTTACGTTATTTCAAGCGCAGAAGGAACCAACCTTATCGTGAATGACACGAAACAAGGATTTCGATGAAGGAGATCAATGTCTACTTCAAGGTGTCTAGGCGTTTGTTTGTACAGGCTGAAGAAAGACATGACAAACGTCAGTCAAGATGGTCGATTATCACGTTCTGGGGCTGTCTGCAACAAGCGTTGTTCCTCTCAAGTCTCCCTTACGGAATCTGTATATTCAACGATAAATGGATGTTAGATGAACAGGATGCGAAGTTGTGTATTGGATTCATCTGGCGCAGGACAGAGATAAGTGGCGGGCTCTTGTGAACACAGTAAGGGTGCTTCAGGTTATGCAAAAGGCGGATAATTCCCTGGCTGACTTCCTATTAGCTTCTCAAGGAGTGCGCTTCTTACTCGGAGTGGCCCCTCAATCCCACCCGCCCCCAATCACGGGGCGCGCCTCCAGACGGTACCCCACTGAGAGTGCGCGTTTCCTGCTTCAGTTCTTCTATTGCAAATTAACCGTTATGACCAAGATTTGAACCGAGAATCTCTCTACTACGAGGCATGAGCGTTATCCTATCAACTGCGACTTCGGTAAGGATATTTTTTTTAAGATCTTACTATCGCTCAGTTATTCATGATGTTCTCCGCCTGCTTGCGTGTTCCGTTTCTGTAGCTGCTACAGCTAGGTCCACCGTAAACTGCGCATATGTGGACGGTCCGCAAGTTAGGTTTCAGCACTCCAGATAGACTCCTTTCCTTAGGGGGGAAAAACGTAGGCTGATAAGATGGCCGTGCTGCCCGTATCTGTGTGTGTAGCCCAACTGATCACGCTTCATGAAAAGTGGTACGGCCATTATGGTCAAGAATTTTCATTTCTTCAAGTAATCCGGGTCGGCTCTTGGGCCCACCCTGCCTCCTATCCAATGAGTCCCGGGGGCTCTTTCCCCAGTGGTAAACCGACCGGAGCGTTAAGCCGACCACTCACCTTCAACTTGTGCCTAAGTCAAGAAAAGTTGGGGTCCATACATACATACATACACTCCCCCATAAGTCTTCATGGCATAGTCCTCAATTAGTTAAGCACAGGGACAACTTTACAATTTCACCTTACCAATTAGATAGAAGCTGGGTGGGCTCCGGAAACTGTCTGGACGACGTTGAGAAGACGAAATTCTTGACCCTACCGGGACTCGAACTCCGACCCCTCCGTCATCCAGCCCGTAGCCAGTCGCTATACCGACTGATTTGTCCCGACTTCTAAAAGGTAAGAGGTCGTGGAGGCCCATGAGGTTGTGAGATGTCGAGGCTCCCATATCTTCTGGACAATCGGCTCACAGATGGCGGCGAGGTTGTCAGTCTTACGCGTCGGCCGGCCGCCCTTTACCTCCAGGAAAATTTCTGATACGTTTCCATATCCTACCAATACTTGGGTATAATTTACATTTCATTATGATTCCAAAGCAAAGAATCTCGGTCTGCAAGAGAGACAGAGCTGCAAGCTGTGCTCACCAGAGGAGGATGGATCCGTAGTAGCCGGCAGCCCTGTACTGGCCGCCCCAGGCGAAACCTTCCTGCCCCAGGCTGAAATATTCTGCCACGGTGAGTATGGGGTAGGGCAGACCGCGTACCAGCGCCTCCCTGTAGCTCTCCCCCATCTGACCGGAGCCCATCCACGAGAACCGTTCGTTGAAGTCGATGTCCGCCCAGCTGTCCCTCGGAACTGCTGCACACACAAACAGAGCTGCCAGCGTTTCGACGGAACATGCTGCCTCCATCCTCAGGTGCAGTGAAGGCCACATCATATAAAGCATCAGCCAAGATAACTGGTGTTTCGGCCGAGATTCGAACCGAGCACTTACAAAATGCAAGTCTTCAGCGTTACCGCTAAACTAAACTGCTGAGGACATAAAGGGAAGAGGCCACTTGGAAGACCTAGGGGTATGTGGGAGGATAATATTAAAACAGACGTTAAAAGAAATATGAAATGAGGTTGTGAGATGGGTTTATCTTGTTCACAATAGGGACCAATGGAGGTCTCCTATGATCATGGTAATACGTGGTATATCCTAGGATTCCAAAAAGGCAGCAAATTTCGTGATTAGTTAAGCGACTATTAGCTTGTCAGAAAGGCATCTGCGTAACAGAGTCCGCCATTACGTCTATAGTAATGTTACACTTCTATATAAGTGGGATAATGTCTGACGATGGGACATGGACAGCTTTGCCCAGGTGCTCAAACATCTGACTAAAATTCTGGAGCTGTGTTGCCAAGACACACATCGACACTTAGCTCATATCATCATAAAAGCATTTGTTAAAACATTTATCTTAATCCTTTAGAGCACTGTGGTAACTATATGTACCACCTGCTTTAACATAAAGATATCTGCGTTTTGCCCACAGAGTATATTTTTGTGTTCGTATGATTCTCACAATATACAGCGATTACTCTATTGGTCTTTCTAATCAAGTCTCGCCGGTCACCGTAGCTGAGCGGTCTAAGGCATGCACTGTCTTCGCTCGCTCGGAAGCCGGGATCGTGGGTTCGAATCCCACTCAGGGCATGGATGTTTGTGTGCGTTTTTCTGTGTTTGTCTACAAGTAGAGGCCTTGCGACGAGCTGATCACTCGCCCAAAGAGTCCTACCGCATGTGTAAGATCTAGTAAACCGAAGTGAAACGGAGAGTTTCATGGAGGTAGGCCTAGGCCCAAATTGGGGCTGTAGCGCCACAGAAAAAGAATCAAGTCTTAGTGTTCTCCGTGAGGTAGAAAATGCTGATGTGAATTTCTAGCTTAAAACGATTAGCCCCACAATACTGACACTTCACCCCCAAGTGAATTTATATGGTTTCATTCGATAACTGTACATTGACGCCCCTAACAAATTTGCAAATTTCGACTGAAAAGAGGAAAGCAAGATTGGAAGGGGTACACTCCAATTACCAACAGCCTTCTCTGAAGCGTGTTCAGCTCAGTTAAATTGGGATAACGGAATACAAGTTGGGACTTCAGCATTACCAGTCGAACGGTTTGCGGAATATAAGGAAAAGTTCCATGTATGGCTGTATGCAAACCAGGCTTTCTTACATATCAATGTGGCTACAAACTGAAATTTCCTCAAGTCTTTGACATCGATTTGAACAATACCTGTGGAACAGTTTATGGGAGACACGGATAAGTCCATTTATGGGTTTATGTAGACAAAATATTACTATGGATACATGCGGCCAAAAATGGCAACCGCCTGAAAAGCCTCGCATATCGAATTTTATAAAATCCGCCCAAAAGTTTAGACGCTGGTACTGGCAGACAGGCGGATCACATTGGCCGAAGCGGTCTAAGGTATGAAATGTCTTCTCACGCTCGAACACTGGGATCGTGGGTTCGAATTCCATTTAAGGCATGGATGTCTGCCTGCGCTTATTCTTTGTGTTGTCCTGTGTAAGCAGCGGCCTTGAGTTTGGCCGATTCCCCGTCCAAGGAATCCTACCGTCTGTCTAAGACTAAGAAACGGCAGTGAAACGAAGTGTTTCACGGATGCCCTATACTCAAAGTTGGAGCGACAGACGGACAGAGGGACAGAGGACAAACAATAAGACATGGCCTCCACATAAGAACTTCTCCAGTGTAACTTGTTAAGAGTTGGCACAACAGTATCTGTTCTGAGAGCCAGTTTCTTGCGCACGCAGCCTTCAGGCCGACAGCAAGCACAGGGAGCAGATCTGCCTACCCAGCTACACGGCAGGCAACATGCCCAGCAGGGTTTCATTGTTTTCCTCTGTCGCTGTGGGCAAATGCCGGATAGTACCTCAGATTAGGCAATGGGCGCTTCTGTGCAGAATAAGGTTCCATCTCTTCAGAAGGTTTTGCAAATAATCGTGATTGGAGCGGTTTGCTCTTTTTAATCCACCACCTCAGTTATTTCGCTGAAACAAACTTTAGCTGCTGACCTTCTGTTTCTGCAGCCATTCCTCGATGCCTAAACCAACATGACGACATTTTATTTTCATTTCATTTCTTGGCACGTGACACAGATCCTTGTAAAAAGCCATCCCCTGAAGGAGTATCAATTGCGCATGTGTCTACATACGATTCCCGTGAGACACCACCGGGCTGCAGGTATTCCTCCAGGACATTACAGACGTCTTCTGCTGTGACTCATTCACTTGGACAGTAAACACTTAACTGACATGTCATTCATACGTCTATCCATCGTGACATCTGACAGAGGAACTGCGTTTCTCTTCCTGCGGCAGTCCTTGACGTTGTCCTCAGATCTGCCGACGCGCAAGCTGGATAAACTGAAGTCACCAGTTCTACAAGGTTGCATTTCCTTCGCCGTTATTTCTGTCACTACATAACCGAGCGTCGCTGCCAACTTTATAAAAACAGTACTTCCTTCTTCATTAGAACTCGGCAATATTTTGAGATTCTTCGGGGTAAAAAAGGGGGAAGCTGTGCCTGTGCTTAACTAACTAAGCACTATGCCATGACTACGTATGAGGGAGTGGGTGTAGATATCAACGTTTTCTTGACCTCGGCACTAGTTGGAGGTGAGCGGTCAGCTTCACAATCCGGCCGCTTTAACTCCATGGGAAAGAGCCAAAGGTACCCATCGGACAGTAGACTGGGTGGGCTCTGACGTGAAGAAGACAAAATGTTGCCCTTACTCGAACTCCGTCCCCTCGGTCGTCCATCCAGTAGCCAGTCGTTATCCCGGCTCCAAATAATTTGGGGTTCTTATATAAAGGTGATCGTGTTTTGTAGGGAAATTTCACAACAATGTTCCAAAAACCACGGCTTCATTTCCTTGCACAGTACATTGAGAACTTGTTCGCAGTTAGTCACCGCACCACATAAATCCCGTTCCAAAAGTGCTTTCTCTTGTGTGAGTCTATGGGTCTATGGCAGGTTAGTAAACACGGTAAACGTAACGTTAACCCTGTGCTTAACTAATTAAGCTCTATGCCATGAAGGCATATGGGTAGTGGATGTATAGACCGACGTTTTCTTGACCTCGGCACTAAAAGGGACTGAGAAAGATTCCTGGTACTCATTTCTGTTAGAGGCTGAGGTGACCCCGAGGATCATAGTGTGGCCGGAAGGACTAGATCAATTGAAATATCCAATGACCTCATTGGGAATCGAAACCGCGACTTTCCGGCTTGTAGCATGGCGCCCCAACCAACTACACGGTACACATAAGAATCCAACAATATATAATTATGGTGGGGCAAGCGGTAGCACATGGATTATAAATCGACGTACTGTTACTGCTGACGTGTAATTCAGGTTATCAGTGAAGCAACAGCTCACGTCTTAGGGAACTGTTATGGAATGTCCTATATTCTCTTGTTTGCCGGACTCCTGGTCAGATTTCAGTAGGTACCCGGAAGGTCCTGCGATCGCCCGTCTCGACGCAGGTTTTCTGCGTTTTCTTGTCTTTTAGAAAATACAGAGATGGCTTCCCAGTTCCAAGTTGCTACTACGAGCTTCTCATACGACCCTCTCGGCTTAAATTCATCAGGAATAAACCCGAAGAAAGCAGTCTTCTGGGATTTGGCACCGTGTATAAGTGGTGTTAACCGACGTTTCGGAGGAACGTATCGCCTCCATCTTCAGGGTAGAAGAAAAAGTATAAGAAATCTGCAAGCGACAAGACCGTGAGAACGGTAAAAGTCTGCTTTTACCGTTCTCACGGTCTTGTCGCTTGCAGATTTCTTATACTTTTTCTTCTACCCTGAAGATGGAGGCGATACGTTCCTCCGAAACGTCGGTTAACACCACTTATACACGGTGCCAAATCCCAGAAGACTGCTTTCTTCATAGTCACCGCCGTGAAAGCCTCAAATCTTACTGGGAATAAACCCCTTCTGCTGCAAAGGCCATCAAATTATTTTCTCAAATAACGCAAGCAACAATGATGCAGAAAATCAAAATCCCGGCGGCCCCTGTCTCAAATCACAACTAACGTCTTCACTTTCGCACTGCCCTTGTCAGAAGGACGAGCGGGCGTTTCTTACCCCATTTCATTCATTTTCTTTTCACTTTAAGAGTGCGGGCTTCTGGAGACGTAACATTGTGTACTTCAGTAGAAAATTGCCAAAGATTCGAAGAAATCTGCTGCCTCCATCTTTAGGGGAGATTCCAAAACTTTTGTATATATTTACCAAATTACATGTCATCACGAGGAGTCGGGGTTGTGTAGTCGGTATAGCGATGGGTTACGGGCTGGACAGCTGAGGAATTTGGGTTCAACTACCGAAAGAAGCAAGCAAAGTGTCCAGACCTTCTCTGGGGCCCTCTCAGCCTCCTATCCAATGGGTTCCGGAGTCTCTTTTCACGGGGAAGTAAAGCGACTGGAGCGTGAAGCTGACCACTCATCTTCATCTAGTGCCGAGGCCATGAAAGGTGAAGTTACACCTCCGCCCCCAATGGCATAGCGTTTAACTATTGGAGCACAGAATAATTTTACCTTTACCTTACATGTTATCCCGTCCGAGAAATCTGCAGTCTTATTAGTCACCTTCATCAGAACCTCAGGTCTCATATTACAAGTTGTGCGCCGTGGAATTCTGCATCAATTACATTTCTGTGTGAATCATATAAGAAATGCAATAGAAGACGAAAGTTTTATTTTGAAATCTCTGGTTGAAAGCACAATACAATGGAGACTTCAAGTCGATGTTTCTGTTATATTGAAGACTTTTTACTAACACCCTGTACTGAGGTCGTGGCCCCCACAAGAATTACGTTACAATAGACACGTAACGAAACATATGAGAGAGGTAATGGAGGGGCACTCAAGAAAAAACTTTTCGTGCTACGCTGATCTGTCTACGGTTGCATAACGACCACGCTTTACTGACCGAGGTGACCAAGTCTACAATTCGAGGGACAGATCCTGAGGCGATCTTGCTATTCCCGGGCCTGGGGCAAATCCAAAGGATTGTACCATCGTTTTCCCTCTTTGTAGGACCGGACATCGCAAATCTGACAACCGCTGTTATAGCAATTACGCATTTCTACATATACAATTAAGAATACAATATTGCTACGTGTTAGAATGACTATAGACGGGGTTTCGATTATTAACTGCATTTATTGGCCACTAACAGATTGTAACTACAAGCAATTATGGCGCCATTGTTAATCTCAGCAGTTCACAAATCACTAGATCACACGATGATTCTGTTTTTCACTAGTCGTTTCCTGGTAATAGATCCGAATAATGGAGACTCTTCAGCTTCTGTGTTCACTCCATTACTTCCGGCCAATACCCCATATCAGACTCATTTAAAAAATTCAAAGTTACTTTACGACTCGTGGTTTACCGATAATCAGTTCGTCTTGGCGTCAAGCCCCTTGAGACTCACAACCAGAGATTTCTTTTCAGCTGATGAACCCTTGCGGTCATAGTCCTTATGTACCATCCTCTCTGATTAGAAGATGGGTTTTGTCTTTTATGAATATGCCTGGCTTTTTGTCAAACGTACGTATCGCACATATAACATGTTACTGAAAATTCTCCCTTTTGCACTACACACAAGTCCTCTGTCAGTACAGGATTTACAAAGCAGATCATGCCTAACTTGCATATCTTATGCTACAACGGCAGCTTAATTATTTGAAAGGTCGTAAGCTTCACCATTACCAAGTTTAAGCCTCTTATATTTTAACAAAAGTCAAAGTCAAAGCCAAGTCGTGCCTGACAGACAGTCAGTCAGTCAGTCAGTCAGTCTTGGTGTCGAGCCCCAGATGACCAGATATTTATTACTGTTTAACAGTTATGGTCTTCTTTCTGTGGGGCACCCTCTCTGACGAGAGGACGGGTTTGTCTTTTGTATATGCTGCTGCATATACTGCAGCACAGTCTTTCTCGGGTCCGAGTCCCTTGGGACTCGCGACAATATTTTACTGTCTCAGATTTGAGAATTCCCTCTTCGTCGCCTCCTACGACTCGCAGTGCTATGGTGCAGGTATTCGAACCTGCCTCCACAGGGGGTATATTTTAACTTGCTCCAACTGTCCCATTTATAATATCTCGGTACGGACCGCGCAGAAACTCCGTTTCCAATAGTTCCTTTGTTGTTCCGTGTGGATTCGTCGCCGTGAGAACAGATCTGTTTGCGAAGGCGTTACTCATTAACGGCTGCGAATATTTTCTTATTAAGAGTCTCTTGCCTATCAACTGGCGTTGTTTCGTTGGTTTCGCGGTCGTTACCTAGCAGCGGCTCAATACACGCTACAATACAGAATACAATTTTGCAGTTAGGCTATAGGCTATTTCTGTGCATAATTTTCATTGGTTAGTTCTGTATCTCCTGTTAGGTGTCTCAGATATAAACACAAGGTTTTCCTTCTCTCCACGTGTGCAACTGCTCGTGTGAATACCACACAGAATTTATAGTTGTGTGTCTAAACTTCTCCGAACCAAGTTCTAACGATGCGTTAGTTAGCGCCATAAAACTGAAGAAGGCATCTATTTCCTGCGCTGCCATGTCAATGTTTGCATTTTATAAAAAAAATATTTTAACAAAAGATGCATATTATCACGATTTATGTGTGAACATGTGTGACACACAACTGGGAACTACAAGTCAATTACAACACTATCGCTATTATCCACACTTTACAGATCACCACAGCACCCGCTAAACCCTTTTCAAATCTAATGTGCCTTCATCAGCCGTTCCTTGGCAACGGCTTCTAACAGTGGAGATTCTTCAGCTTCCCACTCTCAGGTCCTATCTTAACAGCCTCTCGTGCAGAACTCAACTTTCAACTAACAGTGGCCATTTTACACCAAGCTTATAGTCTCTTCACAGGTTGACTTCCAAATGACAACTGAACTGAATCGTCATCCCTTCTCAGCCTCCCTTGCATAACTCAACTAAACTGGGTGCCACAATTCTTTTCTTTATAAACACGTTGCACGGATCGAATAGAAAACACCGTTTCCAACAATACATATATTGCTGTAGAGGCGTGTTCACCTATCCTTTGCTTCCAAATGGGTTGCATAACCTCGCTGTTCTACTGTTGCGTATTAACGGCCAGTATTTACAGAGTCACAGCTTAGCAACGGGTCTATACGCTACAATATTTTTCGAACACCTGTTTCGAATCACATACATCACTCGTTCCCACCTTAGTATCTCTCACGGCCGCCATATTAGTACTACTGATGACTGAAAGTTAAATGTAAAAAAGAAATTGCCCAGTCATTTAATTGCAAGAAACTAAGATCCATGCAAATCTATCAGACACATCTAAAAGTTATTCTGGGTTGACAACACAAGAGCAAATAATATCACATTGTAAAACACATTTCTTTTTACTATCAGTGCCATAACTACCCCTCTAAGACTGAAATTCTGCCATAAATGTTGACAAATTTGAGTTCAAACCTAACATAAAACACCGTGTTTCCATTACAAAGATCAATCGGTTAATGCCGTTCAGAGGAATAATAACTCTTTTAATCATACGAAACACAAGGATACACTGTGTGTGCAAAATATATGGTTTTGAAATGTTGAAGCACCTGGTAAACGTAGCAGTCACTGTGGCTTAAAGGGCTACGAGGGAAATGTTACCTATTGAGCGCCGTGCGCCAGCGCAGTTACCTCGGAGTGTGATGTTCACGTGCCCCAATCCGACGTACGCTCCCAGCTCAGCTTCAATCTTCTCCCGCGAGAACGCGCGGTAGGAGCTGACGATCTCCGTGCGGGCCACGTGCCATGCTGACCCGTACCTGGCCACTGCAACAAACGAACGGAACCAGTTCACTCTGCTCTCCTTACAGCTAGACAGCCCAACCAACTTCTCCAGTGCCACTCTCAGCACCAGTCGGTAAGTGTCCTCCATCCTGGACTTCATGCATTTTCCCAACGCGTTCTCTTTTTGTGATATTTCCTGTCTTATTGGCTCTAATGTTCAAACCCACTGCTGCAAATGTAACCTCAACAAATATCCTGAAGTCATATATTATTTTTCCTTGCAGAACGTCAAATATCTCGTTAAATCATTTATTTTGTACAATGTACATCGGTCACTAATGCAACATCTTATAGTCACTTTACTGCTTTCGCAACAGCTTTCGGATTTAATTGATTTTAACTAAAATTAATTACGGTCGGTCTATTTTAATTTTTAATTTTGATATGAAATTGTAACATGACGTGCAGTGCAGCAGTTTAGCATAGCGGTAGACACCTGATGGTGGTCGTGTATGGCCGAAACATATTGTGAACGAAGAAATAAAGTGACCATAACAAGTTGCATTAATGACGGATATATATTATATGAAACAAATGATATATTGATGCAACTGAATGCTTAAATACAATATCTCGTTAAATATTCATGTGACGAATATGTTTGAAAGTAAAGTGGAAGAAGCCCACATGGGGTGACCTCCCAGTTTAAACTTGTGACTAAAATCCTTCAGTGCTACAATAACATTCCCGGTGGCGAATTTAGCGCGCATATGGGAGATGGAAAACGCATACAGAACTTTGATCGACAAACCCGAAATGAAAGAATCACTTGGGAGAACTAGACGTAGATGGACTCGTACACGTAGACCTATTTTCTAGGATGATTCAATTTAAAGTAGGCTTCTGCTTCCGTATAAAAAATATCAACCAAAATGCAGTGGCGTGCGGTACTATTTTTGGTAAGGGAAGCAGTGGTATCTAATAAACGAACTGAGAGCAATCAACTCACCAAAATTCAGTCACTTATTGAGTCAATGAGGTCGTTTTGTATTATGTTCGATAAACCTGTAAATACTGTACTGTTCTCAAGGTGAACGTTGAGTTTATGATCATATTTCCTCAACAAGTGAACTAATTCCGCATAATTACCTCGGTCGATAGAATCCACGCTTTCGTCATGACCACGGAGGCCAAGTTGCCACTTTCCTAAATGGCAGATGATATCAATTAAGCGTTTCATTATTTCTCTATGTAGTATCGTCAGGCGCTTTTGATTGTCAAGTTGACAGTCAATTTGAGATTTCTCGAACATAACAAGTTGCATTGTTGAAATGATGTGAGTCTGAGAGTTCTCATGTCATTTCAATGCTATATAAAGGTTGTTGATATCATCAAACCCAGTCTTGTTCCATACATTTTTTCATTGAGAATCAATAGGCATGGCCAACAAAACAATTTTCCTATATTACGGCAACAGGATAGCCACTCTGTTTTAGAATACTATTCCAAATTAAATTTCCTCACACATAATTTGGTTTGTGCTTTAAGTTCTGGCACCTCTCACGTCGGNATCGTCAGGCGCTTTTGATTGTCAAGTTGACAGTCAATTTGAGATTTCTCGAACATAACAAGTTGCATTGTTGAAATGATGTGAGTCTGAGAGTTCTCATGTCATTTCAATGCTATATAAAGGTTGTTGATATCATCAAACCCAGTCTTGTTCCATACATTTTTTCATTGAGAATCAATAGGCATGGCCAACAAAACAATTTTCCTATATTACGGCAACAGGATAGCCACTCTGTTTTAGAATACTATTCCAAATTAAATTTCCTCACACATAATTTGGTTTGTGCTTTAAGTTCTGGCACCTCTCACGTCGGTCGTCCTCTTTCTATAATTATTTTATTTTCAGAAGAGTCCCTGCTATTAAACCCCATTTTTAAAAGGCTTTCGATTGCACAGTCGCAGTCGCGTTGTGNATGTCATTTCAATGCTATATAAAGGTTGTTGATATCATCAAACCCAGTCTTGTTCCATACATTTTTTCATTGAGAATCAATAGGCATGGCCAACAAAACAATTTTCCTATATTACGGCAACAGGATAGCCACTCTGTTTTAGAATACTATTCCAAATTAAATTTCCTCACACATAATTTGGTTTGTGCTTTAAGTTCTGGCACCTCTCACGTCGGTCGTCCTCTTTCTATAATTATTTTATTTTCAGAAGAGTCCCTGCTATTAAACCCCATTTTTAAAAGGCTTTCGATTGCACAGTCGCAGTCGCGTTGTGTGCCAGCATTCATTTTAGCTGTTGCCTGTGCGTGTAGTCTAATCACGCCCCTGCCCTTGTACCGCAGTAACAGATTTGCTTCCCTTAAACGCTGATAGCATTTTTCTGATGCTTCAAAATAGATCACAAATACAATCTTACGCCATCTAAATATACACTTACAATATTTTAATAAAACTTAAGGTTGCCTAGAACACCCAACAAGACTGAAATCACACATAAACAGTTAATTTTCACATAACCATTGAAAGAAGGCAGGCCTTCGCTTCCATATCACAGGCATTAGCCAGCAAACCGAAAGATGCTTCCTTGCCCACTTCGTGTGCGACGAATTCTTACGGAGAATAACGAAGGAAACTTGGTCCGTCCCACCAAGCAAGGGAAGGGAGGAGGAGGAGGCATGTGGCCTTGAGCATGAACGCGCGCTAAATGACAATATTCAAATCCTTATTATTCAAATTGGATTATTTATTTATATATGACTTCTTTCTTTTCGTTTCTTAACTAGGGAAGCAATGCTTCCTTTGCTTCCATGCACGGCACGCCACTGCCAAAATGATATCCTCGCGAGAGTATTTGGAACAGACATGTAATAACATTTGGAGAAAACAGAAGAATTATTTCGGAGATAAACTGTTTGGATTGCCAGACATATAGGCCGACAGACATGACTTCCCCGTTATGCGTTAATTTACTGTAAAGCTAAAAGTCTAGTTAATAATGTGCTCCAGATGACGTAAGGAGATGCAGGAACGCAGAACTGTCATCATTTCTAAAGAAGAGATTTTGGGGGTTCTAAAGGCTCAATGAAAATAGAAGCAACTTGTCTAATTAAGAAACCCTTGTCATTCATAATCATCGGTTAAAAATGTTTCTCGAGATAACCATCAATTATTCTCCATTTCTCTAATAAATTACATGTAAAAGTGTTGCATTACTTTCGGGATCTACTGTACCCTGGATGCCGGTACAATGGTGCCAGAGACGATTCGATCTATCATGGCTGCCATATTGTCAGAGAGCTTGAATAATGTAGTCTCACAAAATGGCTGGTGTCAAATATTTATATTGCAATTTGTGTGGTAGACGAACATTCGCACCAGATAAATGCAATCCGTACAGGAAAGAGGGCTGTATTTGAACGCTGCAAAATCTACAGATATTGACTTCCTCAGGAAACGGTCCTGTAAATTTCGCCATTTTGCGTGCAGCCTTCCAGGACTCCTCACTCTAGGAGAACTGTATACAACATATGACGTCAACAAGTTTCCAACCTGGATACTCCGATGGAGAGACTGCCTCACCGGAAACCTCTGAACTTACGTATGAGTATTTGTAACTCCTGAAAAGAGGGTGATGCAGTGTGTTTATGCCACCAGGCACTGAGCTCCCTGTTGGTCCATAAGTCTTTATTTATAACAGTATTCAGTTAACTGGGCCATGTCTGGTGGCACCCCCCCACCAGACACCCTGGGGACACGCCCTCTAGAGCACCGTTTCTGAACCTTTTCAGTTATGTACCCTTTGATCTCAGGGCAGAGCTTCGAGCTCTCGTTTTCTCTGTAGGCTTGATTCTCATCTCAAACTGCGCGAGGCCGTGCATTAGAATATACCTCGCAAGATCCAGACACTTGCGTGTTGTTTGACAGTATACGAAACATATCTCACGTCCCTCCATGAGGCTTCACTCACGCCAGGGGGTTCATGGACCTCCGATTCAGAATCGTTATTCTAGAACTTAAATATACGGCTCAGGTGGCAGTTATTCTGACGAACGAGGAAAGGAATAAGAAGCTAAGAGCAGCTTTAACTAATGACGTAAGCCTGAAACAGTCTGCTTCAGGTGTGTGACCTAAAACTGCGAAGGCACGAGCCAACAGCAATATTAAAGTGTCCGTCTTAACAGGAAATTCGACTCTGCCATTAAATCCGAAATTCCATCCGAGGCCCCCAAATGTCATCACAAGTGTCCCTTCCTGGAGTCTACTGCAAATAGTAGCCGAATACTCTGTTCAGCTGCAGGAAATTTTGTATAATTTACAGCTAAAATAAACACACCGGGCAGAGTTCTTCAGAAGCTGACAGTAGCTTTGCTTGTGTAGACATTCTCTGATCTTTATGCACTCAGAAGTTGTATTCTGTATTCACAATAGCCCGCCATGCAGCCGCCTTCATCCTGAATAAGCTGACCAGTCACCTACCCTCGTGACCTCTTTGTGTAAGAACTATTATAATTTTTATAGGAACACATCCTGTCTGTGTTTACCATTCACGGCTTGAGATCAACCGTCCCACAGACTTACATTAAAAACAAGTTCTTGTTGTTTCCAAGCACGCGCTACATGTTTCGACTGCAAACGGTCATCTAAACTAATTTCATGAAGCTGGGCCCTTATTGAGAAGCCTCCAGTTGTACAGCTACTCAAGAAATTTCCAACATTTTATGGAACCCAAAGAATCATTACCGTGTTCACAAGATCCCTCCACTGGTCCCCATCCTGAGCCAGCTCAATCCAGTTCATATTAACCCATCCTATCTCTTTAAAATCCGTTTTAATATTGTCCACTCAGCTGCGTCTTGGTCTTTCTAGCGGTCTCTTTCCTTCTGACTTTACCAGATATTTCCTATATGCATTCCTCTTCTCCCCATTCGTGCTACATTCCATGTCCATCTCATCCTCCTTGACTTCATCTTCTAATTATACTTGGCGAAGAGTACAAGTTATGAAGCTCCTCATTATTATGCA